AAAAAAAAGGTTGGAAACCCTTGCAAATAGAAAAACATTCAGGTGATTATTGAGCATTTACTGTACATCAGACTGAATGGACATTGTTTTGTTCAGTTTGTCTAGAGCCCTGAAGAAAAGAAACAGACTATATTTACTTAATCAGGTGTCTCTCAAGTGTGTTTGGCCGCAGACCTAATTTTTATTCAAACAACAAATATTAACATTCTGAGGAACTGGTAGATTGTGTCACAAACCACAAAACTCAGAAACTGAAGCTAATATCTAGACCTAGCAACTCTGATAGCTATGTGGCCTTCACTATAAGAAATTTTTTAATTGTTTTAAAATGCTGTTTATATAAGTTAAAATTTGCCATTTTAAACATTTGTAAATGTATAGTTCAGTGGCATTAAGTACATTCACACTATTTTGTTTGAACTTTATTCAAATTAATATGAAGGTACCATATGTAAGTTGCATTGTTCACACTTCCAGGGTAAAGTTCCATTTATAGAAGAGCCCCTCACCCAGGGGGCATGTTATATACCCTCACAATGTGTATATTCACATTATTGTGCAGACTTTACCACTACCTAGAACTTTTTGATCATTCCAAGTTGAAACACTATCCCTATTAAAAAGTAACTCTCCTTTCCTTCCCCAGTCCCCGGTAACTACTCATCACTTCCTATCTCCATAAATATGACTACTCTAATTACCTCAAATATGTGGAATCGCACGATATTTGTCCTTTTATGTCTAGCTTACTAATGTCTGCAAGGTTTATTCATATTGTTGCATGCATCAGAACTTCTTCCCTTTTTAAGACCAAATAATATCCCACTATCTGTATACACCACATTTCATTTATCCATTCATCTTTCCATATACACTTGGTTTTTTTCACCTATTGGTGATCATGAATAATCGCCATTAACATGGGTATAAAAATAATCTGTTCAAGTTCCCATTTTCAATTCCTTTGTGCATACAGAAATAGAATTATAGAATTTCTGGATCAAACAATAATTTTATGTTCAATTTTTTTTAGGAACTGCCAAATTGTTTTACACAGCAGTTGTACCATTTTACATTCCCACAAGGAATGCACAAGGACTCAAATTTCTCCATATCCTACCCAGTACTTGTAGTTTCCATTTGTTTTTATTTAATAATAGCCATCCTAATAAGTGTGAAGTAGTATCTCATTGTGGTTTTGATTTAACTTTATCTAATGATTAGTGATTTGGAGTATTTTTTCAGGTGCTTATTGGTTATTTGTATTTCTTCTGTGGAGAAATGTCTGTTTATGTCCTTTGCTCATTTTTGAATCATTTGCTTTTTGTTGTTGTTGTTGTTAAAGGCAAACTGATTTTAAATGAGATAAACTGATACAACATTGCCAGGATATACTATTTCCTAGATAATATGTTTTAGAACGTTCTTAACATAATTAACAACACACATATCTAACAGAAGACTTTTATCCAGAATATATAAAGAACTTCTACAACTCAAAATAAGAAGACAACATAATTTCAAAAAGGTAAATGATTTAATCAGATGCTCTGAAAAAGAACATATGCAAATATAAGCATGTGAAAAGATAGTCAGCATCACTAGTTATCAGAGGAACATAAATTAAAATCACAGTGAGATACCATTACATGCCCACTGCGATGGCTTCTTTTTAAAATAATAATAAGAGTTAGCAAGGATATGAAACAACTAGATGCTGTGTACTCTTCTAGTGAGAGCAGAAAATCATGCAATCAATTTGGAAAAATTATTGGCCAGTTTCTTAGAAAGTTGGATATATAGTTGTCATATCACTCATTAACTTTATTTCAAGTTACTTACCCAAAAGAACTGAAACATATGTTTCCACAAAGCCCCATACATAAAAATTCATAGTAGATTTCTTCATAATAGCCAGAAGGTGGGAACAACTTAAATATAAATTACTGATAGATGCAATATCAATGAATCTCAAACCATGATGCTATGTGGGAGAAGTCGGACACAGAAGAGCACATATTATAAAACTGAATTTATGTCAAATTCTACAACAGGCAAAAACTAATCAGTTGTGGTATAAAGTAGATCAGTGTTTGCTTAGAGTTGATAGAGAAGGGGATTAACTGCAGAGGGACATGAAGAAACTTTTTGGGTAATGTGAATATTCTGTGGGATGGCAGTTCCATAGATGGACACATTTGTCAAATCTCATCCAAATGTACAATTAAAATGAGTGCATTTTATTGTGTGTAAATTATACTTTAATGAAGTTGATTGTCAAAGTAAGTTCTCTTGGTAATTGACAAACTATGCCAATAATCTAATTATTCAAACTACCATGATATACTCAGATCTGACTTAAGTATGATAAATTAACCCCTTACACTGAAGAAAGCATTTTAGGACCTAGCTTCCTTTATTAATGAACCGAAATAATTTCCCATAATGTCATTAGTGAAATCATGACATTCATCTTTCTTTCAGACATACTAAATATGCCTCTATATTTCAAATAAACACAAAGATCATGAAAAGTAGAATAACATATATTTAAAATGTTTGGAAAACAAACATTTATTTTATAGTGTCATTTACAGTATTCTCTAAGTAAATGGAATAAAGAACTTCACACTTACTTCCTTTGCATTTCAAATATACTCTATTATCAAAAGGCCCTTAAACATAAAATCAAGGATGTCATCTAGGTCTTCCCTTCTGTGTCTGTTACTGAGTTGTTATCAAAAATTGCCTGCAACATTTTTTTTTATTTCGGAACTCATGAAACTGTACAAATTCTATTTACAATTTTGAGTAGGTAAAACATATGCATTTGATAAGGAAGATTTCTCTTTAAGTCATAATTAATTCATAAAAAATTATTAACAACTGGACTGGGTGCAGTGGTTCATGCCTATAATCCTAGCACCCTGGAAGGCTGAAGCAGGTGGATTGTTTGAGCTCAGGAGTTCGAGACAAGCCTGAACAAGAGTGAGACCCTGTCTCTACTAAAAAAAA